ACACAGTTTGCAAACATACCTACTAAACCTGACAATTAGCCTTTTTTTTTGCCAACTGCTGTTCAAGAAGTTAACACTAGGGGGCAGTACAGCGGCTCACTCTTTCATTTGGTGTAGCTTTCTGGCAGTGAATTACCAACATTGCAAGGTTGTACATAAAACAGTGTCCTTGTGCAATGCAGTGCTAGAGAAACATTCACTGCCTCCTGAGATCATTCAGGGCACTGCTGCCTTTTACAATCTGGCAGTCATTTTTAGAGGATTTGCAAAAACTAAACTAGATAGTATAAGACCATTATGTCTTAGGGGAGATTTTAATGGAAACCCATACTGTTTGAGTGGAACTGCATTTTAGATTTTGGTTTAGGTTTTGTTTAAATTAATTGCACCTTGCCGATCTTTAAAAAACGTAATTCCAGGAACTGCAATCAGTATGGATTATTCCAAAACCTCAGTAATGATAGGGTAGCTTCAAAAGCTATGTTTTCATTCTCCTTTATTGTATTATAATAGATACATACATACTGTTATGCAAAATGATAAACAAAAATATACCTCAGAGCTGAGGATGACGTGGGAAACCCATGAAACGTGCCTGCTGACTGTGAGAATGTGAGTTTTTATCTTTATATAATATTTAATCATCTCGATTTAATCATTAGCTTAAGAATTCGACTGAGGGTCCCTAAATAACCGTGTAAAACTGCCAGGGAGCTCATCTATATAACAGATTCCACATGCAGCTTATTTGGTTCAAAAATATGTTATACGCTATGAAAAAAAATGCATTATCTGAGAAATCTGTGCCATGCTACATAAAAATATTTATGTGAGAATTTGTGGACATACAGTTGGAATAGCAAAATGATAATTAATTATTTTCTCCCTTAAATTTCACCCCGTCTCATAACAAACCCACTGGACGCTGATCAAAACCGAAAATTAGAAATTCAAATCTCCTCAGTGGTATCTCTGCTCCATTTGCTGGGGGCTTTTGTCCCTAAATCAGATGGCCCACCATGTATGGGGTACGAGCCTTATCTCCTAAATTAAAAGCCGCCGTGGCTCCATCTTCTTGGAGTGATTCTGCCTGGAGAAACTGACTTGCGACCTGCTCCTAATCCCAGCTCGGAGTGACAGCACTTGCCGACCTCGGGACGGGTTCATGTCGATATTACAAGAGTCTCTTCTCTATGGCTCTCTGGATTATTCAAGATTATGTTGTAATTCCTTTAATCCCCATTGCATTAAAATTGCAGTGTAAATGCCGAGGAGTGGAGGAGCACCCAGTGCCAGGCATGATCGGGGGTTAATATGAGACTGGACAGCTGTCTGCAGTTCCCTTCTCAATGCAAAAAGAGTAGTAATGATTATGATTAACATTATTATTATCATCATCATTAATATTACTGTTATTATTACAACCACTGATTCTTTCTCTTTCCCAGAATGCCTGGGGTGGGACACAGTCTTGCCGTTTTGGCTCCTTTCTTGGCCATCAGTGGTAGGTGGCTGGTCTCTGTCACCGTAAAGGGCTGAGAGCTGGCTGTAGGGGAGCACGGGCTCGTTACTCTAACCGCGGCCACTTTGGCCTGGCTTTCCGCACCCTGATGAACAGACTTCACCCTAGCTGCTCCAAGATAGCACTCATGAATGAAGTCGGAGAGACCGAAATTAAAATGTCAGCTACTGAACTTCCATTAATCCCCCCTTTGTCAACTGTTAAAATTGACTGTTATGCACAAATTTTCCCAGAAGCCATCATTCAGCCTAGGGGCACAGTGAGCTTGAGTCCGGAATACCCTGACATCACACCCCGATTCCCATTAACACCCTGCACATCACAGAGTACGTACCTCGATTCCCATTAACACCCTGCACATCACAGAGTACGTACCCCGATTCCCATTAACACCCTGCACATCACAGAGTATGTGCCCCGATACCCATTAACACCCTGCACATCACAGAGAAGGCACTCTGATTCCCATCAACACCCTGCACATCACAGAGTGCGTACCCCGATTGCCAATAACACCCTGCACATCACAGAGAAGGCACCCTGATTCCCATCAACACCCTGCACATCACAGAGTACGTACCCCGATTCCCTTGAACACCCTGCACATCACAGAGAAGGCACCCTGATTCCCATCAACACCCTGCACATCACAGAGTACGCACCCCGATTCCCATTAACACCCTGCACATCACAGAGAAGGCACCTAGATTCCCATTAAAACCCTGCACATCACAGAAAAGGCATCCTGATTCCCATCAAAACCCTGCACATCACAGAGTACGTACCCCGATTCCCAATAACACCCTGCACATCACAGAGTGCGTACCCCGGTTCCCATTAACACCCTGCACATCACAGAGAAGGCACCCCGATTCCCATTAACACCCTACACATCACAGAGAAGGCACCCTGATTCCCATCAACACCCTGCACATCACAGAGTACGCACCCCGATTCCCATTAACACCCTGCACATCACAGAGCATGCACCGATTCCCATTAACACCCTGCACATCACAGAATACACACCTCAATTCTCACAAATACCCTTCACATCACAGAGTATGCACCCCAATTTCTTGTACTCTGTGTGACATTTTAACTCCAAACCCACCACCTCCAAGTCCCCCAGCCTCAACCCTGACAGGCAGCCTCCTTGTGACATGCCGGTTCCAGGCAGAACCCTGACAGGCAGCGTACACGTAACACGGTGACCCAGCCTGAACCTTGACGGGGCACCCTACACGCAACATGCCGGCTCAGCCTGAACTCTGATGGGCATCCTCCATGTGACATGCCGGCCAGACACGCAGGGCTAGCTCCGGAATGTCAAGTCAAGCGGCCATCCTGGCCTGTGACCTTTCACCACGAGACATCTTCGCTCCCGCAGCCGAAGAGTCACTCCGGTGGTGGTGCTGCCGCTGCTGGCGTCCTCCCCGCTGGGCTCCCCCCTCCCCAGCATGGATTCTACTGCACAACGCCAAGGCAGCGATGGCTTTCCTGCACCCTGCCCTCCATCTGTCCCGCTACCCACACGGACATGCCTTGGCTCGCCAGCGCTCCCCATCCTATACGATCTGCAGCCAAATATACATTCTTGGACATGATGCGTGTGGCGGTGGTTTGTGCATTTGCCAGAAGGGCGTTCGTGTTGCCCATAGTTCTACTGGTGTATTTTCGGTACAATTTATACTGCAAAAAAATTTTTAAAATATTCAACAAAAAACCTGTAATGTGCTTTTTAACTCATCAGCTGGTGGAATGAAGCATCAATAGCGAAGATGATGTGTAAAAAAAAAAATGTGTAAAAAAATTCCAATTTTTATCGGACACATTCAATGGCAGTCAGGATACGTCAATGAGAGAGAAGAAGGGGGGGGGGGGGCGGGGGGGGGGGGGGGAGGGACGACTGTTGGGGACAGAAGCTTTTTTTCTTTCTGATTCTTTCCTAATCTAATTGCTGACCTTTTTTGGGGATGCCGTTATAAAGAAGAAACACATCAGTCGAAAAAGTCTAAATATCCTTCAAGAAATGTGACGTTTGGACGGATCGACGGCAGCGTGGCAGACGGCGAGCTCACACAGCCTGCCTCAGCTCACAGCACAGACCCTCGGCGAGGCCTCCTCTCTCTTCCCACTTCCAAAATGTCAGAGTCCGATCGCTCGTCCATTTGTGAGGCTCGTCGGCCACCAGGAACGCGATGACAGACATTAGCATTTTTTCGCGGGGTTGGCTTAACAGCAAGTCCCCATTTGTCCTCCATTATTGAATAAGTTGGCCTTCCTGAATGCCTGACTGAAAAAAAATAACTATAGAAAAGTAGGAAGTAGAGTGGACAGCAGGAGGAAGTGTTACGTTCTGGTTAATAAGCAGCCAGTAAAAGATAATCCCAATGCCTCTAACAATGTCACAAGCAAAACCGTCCTGCTCATAAAAAATGAATGTGCAGCACAAAGCCAAATTTTTATCCATTAACATGATAGGAATATAGGAAGAGAGTGAAGCTGAGTATAATCCGTGGATTTCCCTGCATGTGGTGACAGTGACGACACTGCATCAGGGAAAGGAGGCTATGGGTTTGGGTTAAGAACCTTTGACCCCCGTGGCCCTGGCTTGCTTCCTAGTTTTTAAACCCCCCCCCCATCCCAGAAAGAAGGTGACTCCTCTCGGAATGAGAGGGCAGAGTCCACAGTGCTCAAAACAGGGCGCTCAGACACAGGGCTCTCCGCCGGATGTGAAGGGTCCTCTGTGGATGAGGTGCCGATGAGATGCCCCGCCCCCCAGGGGGAGGGGGTGTGGCCACAGCAGGAGGTGAGGTATTCACATTTAACCCATGATGCACTGGGCCCCTATAGTCAACTGGGCATGTGATGAGAGTGCTGCTTCTGATGTTGCGACATCACTCAAGACGTGCATCCAAGCTGCACATGTGACTAATGCGCTCGACGCAAATTACCATAATGAGTGGAAACATGCGGGGGTCCCCTCTGGTGGACAGTCGCCAAGCGTCACGTACAGCATGTATAGACTGAGTCCATAGGCGCCAATATGTCTGCACTATACCGCATTCAGGGTTAGCGTACAGCGCGAGCATGGCGTCTGCCACGCCAGAGAGATCCCTTTCCAAGGCGCATGCATAGCACACATATGCCAGCAGTGAGAGCAGTCCCGCTGTCTTAAAATCCTTGGCTCGATGGACCCGGTACCGACGGCCGGCGCAGCCCCGCTCCGGCGTAGACGTGCTTTCAGCATTTACTCTCTGGCTGCGAGCCTCAAACATACTTCTCACCACACGTGTGCGACCAAAATAAGCAGAAAGACGAGGCAACTTGGGCCGCATCCACGAGCCACGTCTCATGCGTAAAAGAACACAGAAGCGGTGCGATAAACTCACAACAGGAAGCTTTGGGAAAACAATAGACCGCTCCACGATCACAGCACAGGGATGGGGTTCTGGGGGGGGGGAGGCTTCCTTACCTGGAACACGTGCTTCCGGCTCGACTTCTCTGTCGTCCAACCGACGAGAGCCCCGCAGAGATCCACTGTCTCTGACTTGCATCCCTGTTTCTAGAGACGGGAAAACAGACCTTGTTTGTATCTGCAGATCGGGAAATGCTGGACCTCAGTGGTTTTTGAAACGTGACAAAAAAAAAAGAAAAATGCAGCGACTGCCTGAAAGTGATTAACAGAGGGACAGAGGGCCGCCGAGGGGGAATCCGGAAGAAAAGTTAAAAAAATAAAACGCAAAAATTAAGCACAACACTATCTTTACTATTAAAGTCAAATTTTTCTTATGAAACAACAGTGTTTACTTGTGATTCTCTCACACATGGCACCTTTTCAAGTGTAAGATCTGTGAAAAATAACATAAGATAAAATGTAAATAATATGTTTAGAAAGTTGTTGAAATAAAAATGTGTGATCCTGAGGTGAAGCTGTTGACCAAACCAATTACAAGGGGAAGAAAAACTCAGGATAAACTGGATGGACTCTCCTAGTGTTAAATAGTTTAAAATTGAGCAGAATCTGTGAAATAATAGCATGCTTCGTTTGATCACCAGCAACAGCATAGTGGCGGATTTCCACTTCAGAGGCCTTGTGGATCACCGACGGGAGGGGGGCCATTGTGATACGGGGGGGGGGGGGGGGGACATTAAGCAAACCTGAATGCTTTCGGACTTTCAGAGCAGAAGCATGCCGTGTCTGACGGAGGCATGTGACATACACAGTGACGGCGGCCCCTTCAGTGTCATACGAGGGGCCCCTGAAAGCCGCCCATTTGGAGGGCATTTCATGGCGGCTTGTGGAGGTATTCAAAAGCCACCAATCAACGGTGGCGCCGGGCCATGGTAATCCCGGCGGGAAAGCGGAGCCGGATTCCACGCACTCTGGCGGGCAATAACTCAGGGACGAGCTTCATAAATCCCTATCGGTGCCGGACGCAGACGGCTGATGCAGGAGACACATGTGCGTGTGCTGCGGTACACGTGTGTGATGGCATGTGGGAAGCAGACGGGGTATCGGATGCCTTACATACCACGCACAGCTTTTAAAATGTATCGATAGTTTGACAATAAAACACGGTGCCTTTGATTCACCGAAACAAGCCATCACGCTTTTAACCACAGAAAGCTGCATTTTAGGAGCTTCACTTATTTTTAGTCGACGTTTAACTCCCACTTGCCCCCCTCCCCCGGTCCAAACCAGGACCCAACCTCCGGTCCACCAGCAGCGGAGTCCCAATTAGGATGAAGCACAAAATATTTGCCACCATGAAATACTTTACAAAAAAACCCTTTAGTTTTTGCAGTTCCCCTCTGCCCCATACACACTAACACACACCACTGAGGGCAGCGTAGTCCTCTCTCCTGAAGATATAATTAACAGAACCTCAAAAGCAGTGATATTCTTCCCGTAGCAGGACTGTGCGTAGGGGCTACTGAGGGCACAGCGGCATGATGGGTGTGTTTCAGCACGTAGGGGGACAGCCGGTGGTGAGGGGGTCATTCTCAGGCCTATCTGGCTGCCACTTGATAAACACAAAGTGCAGCTTGTCTCGCTGGGGGGGGGCTCGCAGCCACTCCAAATGAGTGGTAGAGTATTTGGGGCCAATGCACGTTTCATGCTGCACGGCTCTATGATGAAAATGGCTAAGAGAGACTTAAAACATCTGCCTGGCGGAACCCTCATTATGTTCCAGCATGGAGGGCCTTTGATGGCTGTCCTGTACTTCATTAAAAGCGGCCCAGGACGTTCCCGGGGACTCTTCATTCCTGACGGAGTCGTGCCCCAGGTGTGGGGTTGGGGGGGTAGGGGATATTTAACCATCGCCCGTGCTTGTAAACAGTCTGGCTCCTTCCTGCTCCTCTCTCTCTTGAAGCTGGATCGCTTTCCGGTCCCGGATACGGCGGTCGGCAGAAAAGGGCGATGCTTTCATCTGTCGTCGTCGCTTGCCGGAGAGCGCTACCAAGCTGGCTCCGCAGACGTGTTTTTCACAGTTATGTCAAACGATTGTTACATTTCGGCCGAAAATTTAAATCTTACATGAAGAAAAACATGAAATTATCCCATCCTGAAACTGCTTACCCAGTTCAGGGTAGCTGGGACATCAAAACATGCTAAATGAAATAATGCTAATGCTAAAATGACTGAAAACAAATAGATCAATACTGATGCTCTAATGAAATACCAGAAAACTCCAATAAGTGAATGTATCCAAAGGTATTAGCATGTTTGATGGTTAGCATAGCTCTTTATAATGTGACGTTATACTTCCCGGCACGTGAGTTTCCCACCTGAACAATAGTAGCTAAACCATTTTCACGACATTATCGTTAGTGAATGTCGCATATTGATCTGCAGCTGGCGAGCAAAGACTCTTCCCACTTTCGGGCCGGACCGTCCCTGAGCCTGTTTACGAGTCCGGATGACGGGGGGGTTCCAGGCACGCCGGGCGACACGCATCAGCCGCCCGCCCGCCAGCTTTTCTCACTTTCTGGAAATCGCTGGCTAATTGTAATGGATCTCGCAGAGAGCCTATCGACCAGAAACACGCAGCGAGCGCACACCCTCCCCTCCAAACACTTCCTGGCAGACGCCTGGCCACCCCCCCCCCCCCGATGGACGCCTCTCTGTCTGTTTTATGGAGTTTTCTTGGCGGGTAAAAGTTGTCGACGCCCCCCCCCGACTCCCGCGGAGTTAACCTCGGGACGCAGCGAGGGTCCCAGCATCACCTTCGACACTTGCGGCAGTCGCCGATGTTGACTCCTCCCCCAAGAGAGACGTGACAGGGGCCATAAAAGGACTCCCCCCCAGGGGTTATAGATTGTGACACACTCTTGCTGTGTACCTTCCCCGTCACCTGTCATGGTTGGCAGGCCCAAGTCTGACAGCTTCCACATGGGGGGGGGGGGGTCAGACAGTGGCACCCCCTCCCCCAGCTGCCCTCGAATGCGTCATTCCATGTCATTTCAGACAGCTTGACGGCAGACTCCCCCCCAGCGGAGGGCGCTGCAAGGTGGCCATGCCGCCCCCCCAGCTTAGCGTCTGTTTGAAACGCGGACTGTGACTGGCCCCCGGGGGCAGGATGAACAATCTCACCGCAGGCGCCATCTCTGCTGCACCATTTAGGTGACAAAAGTCCTAAAGAGCTTAACACGGGTGTTTCCGGAAGGTTCTCCCAGCACAGGTGATGAATTAGCTCGAGCCCACAGGCACATCACTGTACTGCTGAACAAGTGTGAAATTACCTGACACGGGAGGGTGGGGGAGGGCAGGCTGTACCAGTCATGTTAGTACATGGGTTCAGGCACTGCTGAGGGCAGCCGAGCGGCACAAGGTGGGCCTCGTCGGCTTTGCAGCGGGCAGCAAACATATGTCAAAGCCAGCCCTGACTCGTAAACGGATCATGAGTAATAAGCGGCAAGGTCTGCGAGGGGTTATGGACAATAAGCCCCGTATCGTGATTCATTCATCTCGCCAAGGAAATGACTAAATCCAATCCAGCCTGATAAAATCTGTCCTGTCCTTATCTCCCTCATGCGGATAATTTCCCCTGATAAAAGCTGCAGCTTCCTGCCCTGCTCCCTCCATCCTCTGCAGCTTCCCATGGCCCGACCTGTCAGGCAGCCACTAGAAAAATGACCACCGTCCTCGGCGCTCCTGCAGGCGTCGTTCCCGGCCGCCCGCTCCGCATGGGCCCAGCGAGAGGACCCCCATGGATCAGCAGCTTGTGGCCTGCCTCTTATGACACTGCGCTAAGGAGCTTGCTTTTGGACAAAGAACAGTGTGTGCAGCTCCATAGCACATGTATGAGGTCGTTCTTCCTGATGACGGGGAGAAGGTTCTAGAATTTCCCATAAACCTACAGCACTCACAGCACTTTGAAACCTGCTAGCTCATTCAGACTGATATGCTTACCAAACTAGCCAGCGCCTCCTGCTTGCTCTCCTTGTAGAAAAACAGCCGATTATCCTCTAGGACAACCCAGGTGGAGGTCCAGTTCTTCCTGCGGGGAGATTACAGGGAATTAAAGGGAGGGGCAGTCACCCGTTGTGCCGATCCGGGACGGGATCACAGTGGGCCTGGATCCTATCCCAGGAAACATAGGGCTTGGGGAAGCGGATGTCGTGTGCAGGATCTCACTCCATCGCAGCGCATGCGCTGACACACAGTGACACACAATGTAGAGTCACGATTTCACCGCGTGTTTTTGGACGATGGGTGGAAGTGATCGTTCTGAGAGGACGTGCAGAAAACGGGCACAAAGGAATAGACTCCGGAAAGAAACACTGCAGCACTACATGAAGTATTTGGATGGCAGTCCATACCCGTATTTTGCGTTCTAATTGCATGCGGTATTAATCCTAAATTAACCCCTATAAACACTGCTTTGGTATTGGTACATGTGAAAGCTGTGACCTCTGAGAGCCAGGGAGCAGGATTAGACATTAACAAAAGTTAACACTTCCAAGATAAGCAAGACGCAGGCCGTCCTCGTCAAGACTAAAGGCTACTGGGGGTAGATTATGGCGTTTTAATCCCCCAGCAAGATAAAGTGGGAATTATGGTCACAAATGCAGAAAAAAATCTACTTAATTAATGCATATGCTCTTCAAAACAAAAATACCAATACACAGCATCAGAATGATTCCCCAAACGTGCTTAAGTTATATTCACAGCGGAAGGGTGCAGTGTGAAATCCATCATATGGAAAGCACTTTCTAAAGAGGATATTCCTTATGAAAGTGCAGTGCTGAAGATTACACTGATAAATCCAAACAGAGAAGCCTCTCATTTCAATTTTTAACAAATAGGAACAGGATGGGATATAATCGACAGAACAGATAATGCAAGGTATTGCCTGCTATTGTATCTTGCATACACACCAGAATAATCTCATTCTTCTGTCTATTAAAGTTGGCTTTGAAGTTCTTAAAGGTTTTGTGTCATCAATCCAACTATCTGAGAGGTTCGAATAAGAGGGAAAAAAACAATAAATATGGATTATAAAAATAGGCAGAGCTGTCAAGATGATGCATTGAACTACAGTGGGTCTCATTTAGGTTCCCCAGCTGAAGGTTAATAGAACATTTGATTGTGGACAATGTTGAGTCTTTAAGACGGAGCTTTTCCCAGATAGAGTACAGAAGGGCACCATCAGCCTTATCGGGCATGGGGGGGGGGCATATCCAATGAATGACTGGGGAAATATATTTCACATCTGTTTGATTTTGTTGTTGCCGCTGTGCCCACCCAATCTCACCCACCACCTGACCCCACCCAGGCGCTACTGCAATACCCCACCCCCCCCCACCACCATGACAAGAAGGCGGTGGGTTGCTGTCTTACCTCAGTTTTTTTCCTCCATCAGCTATCTTGGCTTTGTTCAGATATTCACCTTTCAGGGAATTCTGCAAGCACACATATATTCCATTATTGTGATAGTTTATGGTAATTGCATTTTTAAAGTGAACATTACTAGAAAACAATCATTTGTTAAAATTGATACGATTGCATCATAGCATAGCCTGCGTTTGTGACAGAGTGATGAGGAAGTGGGCCTTGTTAAGTTGAACGGGAATGGAGGTACATGCAGGTTACTAGGTTAGATCAGGAGGCTGATAGCACCAGAGCGTGGTCAGAGCATATGCTTCTGTGTTTATCCATAAATCATAAGGAACATCTTCAATCGCTTGCAAAACTCTGCTAAACATGCATAACTGAGGTTGTGAACGTGAGATGTGATTAGAGCATCAGACCAGGTCTAGAACACAGCATGCACATGTATCATAACCAGCAGGGTTTGGGCTCTCACACCTGATCACAGGCCCCCAGACTCAGCTCCGGTCTCTGGAGTTTTTGCCACAAACCCTGAGAAGGAGCACAAAACCTACATGGTCTATAGAAATGATTCTCTGTAAAATTTAATCACAAGTATGACCGTGAAAGGAAGCAAAGACAAAAACAGGTCTAATGTTTACTACCGAGAGCCTCACTGTGTCCGTGTCACGTTACTGCTCTTACTTTCACACATTATTTTTCACAATTATTATTATCATATTATTATTCAAAGATACGGTTCCTTTTCTGCCAGGAAATCATAATGCACCTTTTATCATGAAAAGACAAGCAATTAAACTGGCATTTTCAAAGAGGCTCGGAAAATAGACGGTCAGTCATTAACATTTGCTAAATGCTAAAAGGTCTCCATACAGAAAGTGTTGTTACACAAACAAAGGAGCACCTTGTTCTGAAATAAATACACAAGCGTAACAGGCGTGCAGCAATTTCTGACAGCAAACGCCCAACTCCCAAGCCTTTAAACGGTCCGCATAATGTGCTTTTCATGATAATGAGAATAAATGTCCCACAGAAATATTATTACATGTCCTGACATGTGATTAGTCTGAGCACTGAACACACTGACCCCTAATTATACATTTTTACGATCCAAAGAGGTACCATGAGAATACAGCAGGAATCTCACATTATTTTTCTTTTTTTTTTTAAATCCCCCTTTATAGGCTAGTTAATACCTCCACAAAGTAAAAGGGAAAAAAACTGAGGTATGTTCTTTGTCTTTTCCATGAAATGCCAGGACATTATCTAAGCGTTTCACGCCCACACTGTAGGTATGGACCCCTGAAGCATTTCACATTTACACTCCCCTGGTAACCTGATTATCGCTGAAACTCACTTTGCAAACGGAGGTCACAGGCCTTCCTGCCACCTAGGCCTCACATATTCATTTTGTTGCTCCACACCGGCCACTAATAAACAGAGCAGCATAGGTGTCCAACTGGGCCCGCGACACGCAACACGTAATAAAGGCAGCGGGTCCTTTCATCTTGGTGATTCTGGACGGCACGCAGGTGTGAATCGGTGGCTGATTCCGGCAAACGCCGCCGTGCCAAGCTAGTGTGAGCATGCGCTCATTAGGCAGTCTGCAAACTTAGCACTGTAATTAGGTGGCTTGACCATTACATGTGCCATGACTATTTGAGATACCTGCACAGACAAACCCGTTTCTCGAGCAAGTGATTGCATGAGTAGGTGTCTTCTAATGAAGTGTTTTTCTTCAAATTCCGTTTTTATTGTTTTTTTTTTCTCACTTCTCAATTTCTCTCGCTCTGTCGGTCGCGGGCTGCGGCGGGGAAGCATCCCCTTTGGCGCGATGTCACGCTTCATCATAGCAGACGGCCGTACTCACAGGAAGTCCTGCAACACTGATGTCACCCAGGTTATGCTGAGACTGATTCCTCCGATGGCGAGATATCTGTATTGGGGAAGAAAGGAAGATCAAGGAAAATTCACTTCCTTATTTAATCAAATATCTGCTTGTAGCTGACAGTCGTGTTCATGAGGCCTCTTCATTACAGGGCTCATTAAGGCCACGCAGCTGCGTGTGTGTATTCAGGGCCCTGCTCTTCACCACGCCACTTTATTTGCCTCATTTCATCATCAGCTCCTACACACTCTTCTCATCTTCTATTTACACTTGGCTTTAAAATGCATTTTGGCCAGTCGGTTTGGCACGTAGACATTGCTAAATATACTGTAAGTGCAAGCGACCACTAAAATGCATGGTGATCCGATCACTCGAGCCACTTGCCGAGATGGTCTGGGACACATTTGACAACATGTCTCATATAGTGTAAATGTTAATGCATCCTGGATGAGTCCCTGACAAGGACGTTAGAATAACTGTGCGCGGGATAGTAACAAAATCTGAATACAAGTCAGCTGGATGCTTTGCAGATGCATGAAAGACAGAGGTGTAAACAGCAATGTGTATTTTAAAACCGAGAGTAAACAAGGCCTTTGTATCATTGCAAGAGCTATGTGATGCCTCTGCTGTCAACGACGCGATGAATATGAATATGGAGTATACATGCAACGCAGGCTAGCATGGTGGTGCAGAGGTTTGCATTGCTGGCTCACATCTCTGGGACACCAGGGTTTGAGTCTCCACCATCACTCTGCGTGTGGAGTTTGCATGTTCTCCGCATGCCCCCACCCCCTCACACACACACACACACACACACACACTCCAAAAACATGCTACGGTTAATTGGAGTTATCAAATTCCCCATAGGTGTGCATGTGTGAGTGACTAGTGTGTGCGTGTGCCCTGTGATGGATGGAGACATGCGGTGAGCATTGCTTGGTGTCCCAGACATGGTGTGACTGGATGCCACAGCAAATGCTTAAGCGCACCGCAAGAGACCAGCAGTAGATCATACACAGACAGGAACGTGGCTGCTCCTCTGTTTGTTGACCCTCAGACCATTAACACCACAAAACATTTCACTAAACGTAGTTACAAATAGTATTAAAACTCATGAAGGTACTTTTACACTTTGTACCAGGTAGGAAATAGTTGACGTGGGTTTAATATTTGCTATTTATGAATTCATTTTGCTTGCATAAACAGTGGCAGAGAACGTTCCGGGCCACATTTTATCTTAATATAGCCTTTTTACCATATCAAAGGCAGATGTGTATATCGTTCATCTGGAATCTGCGTCTTTAATTCACTGGAGAAATGTAATGCTAAGGAAAACAAGCATCTGGAGAGGTACAGGGAAATATTTGCTATGTAATTTGCATATAAGGCGGAGCAGAGGGAAGAGCATTGTCACCTCTAGCTTAAACACCAAAAACCACACCAATTCACTCAGCCGGAGTGATGAACTTTGTATACGAAATTCGAAATTAAGAAATTTGAAAGAACTATATTAATAATATTATAATGAAAGAGGAGTAGAGGAGGATTATTTTTCCACTTTATCTTAACGCACTAATGAACACAAATATGTTTTTACACACTGGAAAATGTCTGACCATGAAATATGCACAGCACAACAGGTGAAACCACTGGCAGTGCAGGTATTCAGGAACGTCCCCTCCGCTAATGAGCGCATGCAATGGCACAGTAACCCCAGCTATGTGGCCATCTTGCCCGCCCTCGCGGGGCTCCTTGAGGGGCCTCCTTATTCCATTTCCCGGGGAGTTTTCGCAAAAGGCGACAGAATGGAACAGGAAAAAGACATGTTGCGTAATTTCCAGAGCGCTCCAGGTGGGATTCCTTGTGAAGCCGTCCCTGGTCACCTAAAGCCGCAGCGTTCTCCCCAGGAGCGCCGAGGAATGCGCTCCGACAGCCAGCCCTCCCCTCACGGAGTACATGCCATACACTGCGGCACTCTCCAGGAACGCTCTTTTAGCCGAGATACCCGGGATTAAGGAGGGAAGCACTGGGAACAGTGCTGTGTCAGCTACCATTAATGGGGCATCTGCCTTTCTGAAATAGGACAGGGGAGCGAGTCTGAGAGTGTGAGGGGGACATGGGGAAGACCTGCTTCCACTGACCACCTTCCCACGTATGAGTGTCCGTGGATTTGCATGATCTGCAGCCATTTAAGTACACTGCTGGCAAAGGCTCCTTACGCAGTGTGCTGAGCTATAAGGGGTTACAGGGGGGCACCGGTCTGGGGGAGGAGGTATCTGGAACAAATGTACCTCAGTGGCTAGAACCCGTGGCTCAGGGTGCGACGCATGGCATTGGCCCTCTGGCCTCTCCTTACGGAGAATTCAATTATCATACGCTTACTAACGATATTGAGCACATCAACACAACTGGCAAACTGACAGGCCGTGTGCAGAAATGAGCCTGAAAGTAGACTTTAACAGATTTTAAAATTTAGTTATACTCAGATTGTCACATTTATAGGTATTTTATAAAGACGCACATATCATAAATTATACCAGAAAGTTGCTTTATTTAAATAAAAAAAAATAACAACAATAAATTACACAGTGTACTAGTTTCGTGTTTATACAGGCACGTTATTTATATGCAGTAGGACTGAAAAACGACTGAAACGCAAACCGTGCATGGAAACGCAGTGTGCTGTGAGCTCGGGTTCGGGTCACTCCGTACTGGTACTAAGGCACGCACACTCAGCGCCTTGAAATGTCTCTCTTTCCCTCGTTTGATCTCCGGGAAACTCCGCAAATCGCGGCAGGTCTTCAGCCGCAGAGAAAATCGCATGTGAACCTTTACACTGCATCTCCAGTGAAACTCCACCTTGCATTATTTATGAGGTCCCCGGCAAAACCCTAAGTGGCCCCTGCGTGAAAAATATTGAAAATACCGAACAATAACAAAGGGGCCACAAAAATGCTGGCAGCTTTCGATCTCTGAAAGTAAGAGCAGACATAAAAGGGGCACCCTAACATTACGCACAAACACGGCTGTCCAATCTTCAAACTGCACTCTGTCACAAACTCGTCGATCCATCGCATGTCTTTTATCGTTTGTTAAATGTGATTAAGCGGACACCGCCCGATGAGACGAGTTTCAACGTGAAATAAGAAAACAGGAACAGCTGGTCTGACGTCCACCGGTGGCCAGGAAAAGCAGAGCACCATGCAGTCTCTTACAGAACTAGAGACTCCCATAACGAATTAAATTGATGTTAAAAACAATCTGAATCTATTGTATGTGTTTTAATTAAATAATAAACCTCCTTGCCAAGATAAAAGTAAAAAATAATAGTGCCTCATATTGATGTAATGATCCACCATCTGTACAAAATGAGATTTAATGCCATTCTCAAAATTTCCAAAAACACAGTAATATATTTAGCACTTAATAACTTGGTAAAAAAAAAATCAAACACCTATTTTTTGGGGGTAATTAACCAAAAACACAAAAGGCTGTTTTTTTTTTCCCTAAGCAATCATCCGCCCTCCTTTCGTTTTTGTTGCGGAGGCTGTTGGACCCCAGCCCTACAGTGTCCCGGCAGCCTACGGAGGAGCCCTCGGCTGGCCTCCTTATCCCCGAGGGCTCAGTCACGAGCCAACTCCCAAATGTAGGAGAGCCGGGAATTGGCAGTGTCCTGGCGTGCGAACGCAATGGGGTCGAGCCGCGGTCTGAGCGAGCCTTTATGGCGGAACAGGAAACACGGACTGTGGCAAGCGTGCTGTTTCATGTTTTATTTGCAGTCGCTGCGTGTGATTCCTCTACGATAAAATACATCGTAGTTATTTCCATGTTAGAGAGTGTGACGGTGCACAGAATGTGCAGCTTGATCAAATTGCCCAACCGCAATTACCACCTTGTGTGTATTATTATCATTATCATTATCATTAGAAATAAGCATGCACGTAATCCAGGAAAAAAAGACTTTGATGTGAACATCGTATCCAGAGCAAATATTTCTCTTCCATCTATTATTTTAAGGATAATCATTAGCAGCAATTTTTCCTGATATAAAAAAATCCTCATTATGATTCTGTTGACAGAAAAATACAGATAAACATATATGCTTTCTTTAAATCAAATCATAGAAGTTTTTTTAAAAACTTTCTTCGTGGTGGGTTACGCTTGTTTTGTTCATGAAAACTCCAGATGTTCAGCTAATGCGGATTTTATTATGAGACCATCGCTGCATTTGGGCGTACAGAAAGCTTATGGTTGTCCCACGTTTTATGATTTATATGTGCTGTGTTAGCCGGGACAGAGCTGCTCCTTATCACAGTGTTACCCTGCCCTCTACTGTCCCAGCTGAGAAAGCGCCACCCAGCCGGCTCCCGGATCCCGCTTTACATTTTCGCGACATGGATTCTGTCATCTCTCACTTTGGCAGCGAGTTCAAGGTCAGAGTCCAGCTATTTCGAGCTTGTCTTTCCTCTGAGCCGTATCTCGAAATGACAAGGTAACACCACTCAGGGTTAGCTGCATTACACCGACGCTTACATAAATCAGGAAAGTAGACATCAATCCTGGCTGACAGTGTCTCCGGGACACCCAGACCTTAACGTGCACCGACTGTCAGAGCACAACCCCCCCCCAACAACTCCCAGCATGCCGCAAATGCCACATGAAACCTCTGCCATGCCACCGTGAATCAGGAGAGTGGCAGATCTGTCATTTCTCATTAGCGAGATCATCCTTACTCCTGGCAAGGTAAACAGACCTTAGAGAGAACTGTCCATCTGACACGTGTTCCAAGTCCAAGCAGACGAACTAGCCTATATATACAGTTTATGTTTGTGTTTCCCACTGATCCGACTGATCCTAAACTTTTCTGATTTTTCATCTGTTTGCTAAGTTTGTTTGTATGGTCAATGGCATGTTATGTCAGGGCATTGTTCACCCCGAACGGATATACTTCAGAACTTCAAATCAGCAGAGCCAAAATGCCTTTGTATAATGCATTTGAACTGATGCTGCAAACAGCCGTGGGCTTTTTGGATAAGACTGCCATACTTGTCATTCAGAAGGAGGGATGTGTTTCACGGTGTGGGAAGGAAAGTCCTGTTGACTTCACACACAGGCTAGCTAGCACTGTAAATGTAGAACAAATGCTTTTCCTCTGTTAAGAAATCTATTTGGATGAACATTTGCACATGTCTGTGTGTGTATGTGTGTGGGTGTGCGTGTGTGTGTGTGTGTGTGTGTGATCCAGGTATATATTACAGAGCCCATGATCCAAGCGTCTTTTTGATGGACTTCACCTGAACCGGAGAGCATTTACAGGTCGCTGAGCACAGTGATTGAGTACAATCCATTGAGTACAGTACAGTCTGTTACAGGTTGTTGAGTACAGTCATTCAGTATAGTTCATTAAGTACAGTAGAGTGTCTTACAGGTCATTGAGTACAGTCATTGAGTACAGTACAGTCTCTTACAGGTCACTGAGTACAGTCATTGAGTATACTACAGTCTCTTACAGGTTGTTGAGTACAGTTTGTTTGGTCGACTACAGAGACGCATAAACAATAATAATGGGACTGTGACAAATGGGTCATGTAATTAATTAGCCTGAAAACAATAGAGGAAACTTTAGCTGCATTTAACGATGACGACAGTCACAACATTTCATTTGTTGTCAATTATTCATCACTTTGAAGGTTCAGGGTGGGGGTTCATATGAAAATCAGCCCAGATGCTAACAAGGTTGCAGTATCTGCTGTAAGACCGTGAGCCTTTGACTGCATGAAAGTGGTGTTCATTTTGGTAAGAACTTATTGTAGTTTCACATTTTAATTTCCCGTTTTGCTACACACACATACCACATTAAACTGAAATTCTTCTTCCTTTCATGAGTCATAAGGACCATCCATAACAAAAAGCTACTCTGGCAGAAAGCATGACTTTTATCCACATCTTAGAAAGATTAGCCAGGCTTTTGATGGAGCTCTTTGATAAGCAGAATCGCTGTCCACATCTTCTAAAATGGGACAAGCAGTTTCCTGCTCCAAAGAATGTGGATATCTGTGCTGAACCATTAAAATAGAAAGCCACTTTCCAAAGCACTGTCAAACCTTCTGGTGACACATTGCATATTTCCAAACAATTTTTAACTTCTGAAAGAAGTCTGCTGTCTTACACCTTATAACTCAACAAACAACAATAAATATATCTTGACAATATAGGACTCCTATTTTAACTTACATTTTTTTCTGTTTAACATGTTCTTGCATTTGTGTCTTTGTTCATTTAAGGATAAGAAGTTCACTTTTGGACAGAAAAACTTACACTAATCAAACACAATTTATTTCTAAAGTACTGTGCTTGGGGAGACTGAATATGCTGCAAGGTTTTATTAGCACAGAAAGTGGTAGAAACGTGATATCGAAAGCTAGGGGCTGAGGTGCCCAGTTGCCGTGAGTGACTGCGGTTGTCTGAAGGGCCCATTAACTTTGTCCTCTGGTAACTTTAGCGACTGTCAAACGGGAAGGTGTGAGATAAGCTCAAAGGCAAAGGTGCTTAGTGCAATTCAGCCAGTGCTAATCCAGGAGTGTTCAGGAGCCCAGGACAGGGAGATGTTCAGGAGCCCAGGACAGGGAGATGTTCAGGAGCCCAGGACAGGGAGATGTTCAGGAGCCCAGGACAGGGAGATGTTCAGGAGCCCAGGACAGGGAGATGTTCAGGAGCCCAGGACAGGGAGATGTTCAGGAGCCCAGGACAGGGAGATGAGGGCTGCATCTGGCACCGAGTGCGGCTGCTTTTGAGATCCGTTTGTAATCTCGTTCGGAAAGATGGCACAGACCGACCCACGGCGGTTCGGCCTCGCCGGTGTCAAAGGCCAGACACAGCACTTGGGCCCTGAATGTGGAGACGCCTGCAGTATAGTGACCTGGCATGCCTCACCGATCGATACACTCTGAAAACACCCACGGATGCAGCCCACTACCCGCGTACAGACCAGTTAACCCCAGGACACCAATTAACGATTAGGAGCTCGCTGCAGAAGACGAGTGTGGAAAAGGCGCTGGGGTCGACCAATGTCATTTTTAGTTTTATTCACTTTCCCTTCCTCAGTGTTTCCTAGAGTGTAAAGTCAGCCAGCTCAGCCGGATTCCGGCTCCAAGAAAAACTGTATCCCAGAATTCCTCATTTCCTCATGTGTTTATTAGGCTTAAACCAAATGGTACCACGAGTCGGTGCAGTGACACACAGATCTGCCTTCTGCATTTCGCGTTACTTTTTCTTTCACTATGATGAAGCATCGAGACCAAGAAAATGAAACGACACGAGACGCACAAGCGTCGACAGACTCGGCCACTGAGTTTATGCGGGGATTGTAATTTTACACTGCCGTTTACACTGCTCGAACTCAAACGCACTTGACTTATGCAAAATAAAAATCAAAAATCAAAGTCAGACCTTGTTTGAATTTAGACAGAAAAAACAACATGAACATTCTGCCTCGCATGCCCTCCTTTGTTGCTGAATATCTGTTCAGTCAGAAATAAAAACAGACGCAGACACACATGTAAATCGTGCAGTGTTCTTGCAGCTGGGCCAGGGCCTGCTCATTAGTTTTAAGGGAGGTTAATCCATTTAGCTTCCGCATATTGATATGCCAATTACACCTAATTGCCAAAGAGGCATCTGTCAAGGTAACAGTGCATACACGCACACAGAAGCATTAGAACCATCCCTACATGTAACGGAATAGGTGTTAATTGGTATCTGAGTGGTTCGGGCCACTGAGGTGTATAATGCTGAGGGCTGATGGATCACTTGCAATTCTTCTCGGTAATTCCATCTGTGGCCTCATGCTGGGATGTTTTCAAGCTTCTCCCAAAATAGGACGGGGACTGTGTGTGTGTGTGTGTGTGCGAGCGGGTATACCTATCCTTATGGGGACCATTCATTCACTTCTATGGGAAAAATGCTAACGCTAACTATGACAACCTTAACCCCCACCCTGCCCTAAGCATAACCATAAGTAACCAATACAAGAGTTTTTGCATTTTTAGTTTTTTCATAGCTGTTACCGATTTTTATAAAATAGAGTTTTCCCTTATGGGGACCAGGAAACTGGTCCCCATAAGGGGGAAAAAACGGATATTTATCACGTTATGGGGACATTGTGTGTGTGTGTGTGTGTGTGTGTGTGTGTGTGCCTGCATATCTCAGCAACCACTCAGATTTCCATAGCCAGGAATACACACTATTCTCCCTCAGCTACCTTCAACAACAGCTATGTCATTTAAACCTCACAACCTGTAAATGTGTCCATGGATATCTGTAGGTATTCCTGTCATCATCATTTTGAATATCTCAAAGAGATGTGTGAGACAGACTGCATGAATGACAGGAAATGATGCTGAGAAACCACCTAAGAGACTTGAGGGTACAATCGTCATGACCTAAATTCCAGAGAATTGATATTCCTCTGCTCATTCTCATCAGTGAGATCTGAGATATGCTCACCCTTAATTCATTATTATTTCTTATTAATTTGCTTCACAAGCTCAGTTACATACTGTAAAAGATCATTTTTGGTTCTTTAAAAACGTCATAACCCTTTGACTTGGACTTGAACCAGCATAGAAATCCATTTGAACCTACGACCCTCTGGTCGTAAGCCCCTGTCCCCCTGGCAGGTTCCAATGCACCTCAGTCCAAACGGAAGCGAGAAGAATCACAGGCACCTGGTGCATGGTCCCATCATGCTCTGCAAGGCTGAGGTACTTACAGGATTCTGGGGCGCTGCAGGGTCTGGGATGACCATTGACTTGGTCTGGCTGAGTCGCTCTCCAGTGTTAGCTGACCTATTAATCCTCATCTGGACCTGCCCGGGGTGCTGGGTGGGGGGGGGCACCACGGGCTTTTTTGGGACATTTTGGATGTTCGTTATTCTGTTTAGGGAACAGACAGAGTAAATAGATTCAGACCCAGAATAGCTTTGGTATGCTAACATCTTTGATTTCTCATACAGCTCATGGGCAATTCGGTGATGACACAGCAGATTCTGAATTCAATGCATGTACAGAATTTAGAACCTTAATTCATAGTAAGAGTAACACACTGGAATATAATATAATATAGATAAGCATGATGCATCACTTTTTTAAATGTGAAACATATTTAACCATTCAAAATTAAGTTTAAAGAAAGCATGGGTTTTCCAATAGCTGGATATTCTCAATATTCCCCAGCAGAGGGTGATAAATCTGCAGTTACTGTATATGAATGCATGCATCTTGTGCATTACATGGCACTTTTGACCAATATTTTTGGATTATTTCATGTATAAGCACCAGAATTTCTATACTGGAGTGATCTTGGAATTTGTTATAAGCTGTTCATTCAAAGGGAGTAATGAAACTAGATTGGATTCATCATTTTTGCTGTTTTGCCTAATTTTTTAAGTATAATAGGAAAACAAAATAAAAAATACAATTTTTAAAGAGAATTATGCATATTTTTGTGATGCTGATGTTTCCAGAAGCTTCTTGGGTAATTCGGCAAACATCAGAAGAGCCCCTGTATTCGGTGATGCGTGAGCATAGCATGGTGCTAATCAACTTCTAGTTGCTAAAACCCTCCCAGGTTTAATTGTTAACACTCATGAACGTTCCAAACGATTTAATATTAAACCACCGCTGACCATCTTATCAGCTCCTTCTCCTCCAGAAGCAGAGAAACCATTAGAAGCTATGCTAGAGAATCACAAAGGCTGACTCGGCAGCAGGAGTCCCGGAACAGCAGCGCTCCAGCCATGCTGAGCTTTTCCCAGGCACTGCCACTGGACAGCACACAGACTAACACTGGGCAACAACTCATGTCCACTGAGTTTGTGGAAAGTTCTTTCCCTTCTTCTATATGGATGTTCAATACACAGAATGAGTACTTTCATAGTTACATTTACATGCATTCATTTATATCACACTCTGTAAGTGTCAGATAATGTGCCCCAGGGTATATAAATACACTGAAGAGCTGCAGTTAGTTTTGGGTGTGGTTTCGGTTTTAAATAAAAAAAAATGCACAAAAATCTCCATTTGTTGTGCAGTTAGATGCATAACTGTTGCATGAGTGCACTACTACTGGGGGCGAGGGGGTGGCAGACAAGCATTTGCTGGGACGCGATGGACAGCGAACCGTTGGCCTGTTGTTCCTGCACAATGCACCTCACACATGGAGCGTGATACACAGAGCTGAGGCTGGTCATAATGCGGGTTGTGATGTCAGATCATAAAGCTGTCATACAAGCGCACTGGATTTGGCTACGATCATCCATAATTCGCCATTCATAAGCATCACCGATATCGGGAACGGATGGCAAGATGTGAGGATCCAGACTTCAGAAACAAAAAAAATGCATCTCCCCCAATAAACATGCCATGATGCCTCGACCCCTGCATACGAACATTTTCAGAGCCTCTGGGTACTACAGCGAAACAGTTCTTGTGCAAGAGGAAGACAAGTCAACCACAGAGCGAGAGATTCATTAAAGTCACATAAACGCGTCTGAAAAAAGAGCTGTCGAAAGTACACGAAAGTCAAATAACGGAATTATTTCTGCTGCTTTTACATTTTTTCCCTATGCAATGTAGCAAAATGTGCTATTCACAGACAATCTATTAGCAATTATAAATTAGAGATCTAAAACAGCGCATGATGACCGCTGAAATTATTTTCAGTAAGAAGCCCAAAGGCATAAGTCTGTTTCTGGTTTTAATGTGGCAGCTAGGACTAGGGCCCACTTTGTCAATACAGGACATCCTGTGGGTATTTCCCATGATGTCGTTTCATGTCACGCTTTTTCAAACAACATCAAACTCAATCAACCCCAGGACATAAGCACATATGATGCCCAACTCTGCCTTAAACCTCATAGTTCATGCCGCTTGTAGCCAAACCTTTGAGAGATATAGGGTATGTAAGAATCCTTACCTGGTGCTCGCCATTCGTCTTGTCAATTAATCTGACGGCAATCTTGAAAGAAAAAAAGCTTCCCCAAGACAGGAAGTGAGTGCTGTCACATGGTGTTTTCAGGCACTGCCTTATGCAGTGCACACTGCTGCAAAATGTCTGTTTTCATGTTTCAAACCTGCAGCCTCACCACTTCCTGGAAACACACAGCTTGTACAGAAATAGCACAACTATACTGCTATTGAAATCCATCACAGCAAACTTTAGAAATAATCAATAGCACTCAGTTCCACTCAAAATAAAAAGTCACAAAACATCTATACTGAAAAACTGGAGGCTGGGCCAGATGGATGAAAGCAGTTGGGCAGCTACTTCTCTTTTTGAGTCTGTTTTTAGTAATCATTCATTTCAAAACCCTTCACCACCAAAGTCCAGCAACAACCACTACTAGGCCACACTACTCCATGTTCACTGAATGCTCTTCATGTTGCATTTGAATAGCTGTCTGATGGGGCTCTTGCTTTGTTTGGAAGACGTTGTGTAGCTCCTGCTCCTATCCGGCTTACACTCATACTGGACCTTCACTGGAAGCTCAGCCTAGCTGCACGTACGCCTAGTCGACTCCCTGATAGCATGAATGTTTGTAATGTGCTCTTCGCCTCACTTGTGGATCAATCTGGATCAAAGTTCCTTTTAAATAAAGTAAATGTGCAATACGCAGTTTACACAAACATTTTGCTTAACAGCCTTCTTTATAAAAGATCTAAAGGGAAGGGAGAAGCTAATACATACAGCAGATACTATGTGTCTTACATTTGTATTAGGAAGTGACAAAGATTGTGCAATACATCAGGCTAGGGCTTGAGAAAGAAGCTTAAATCAGGATATGACATCAGGGCTGTTTCTAGTTGGAGGGGTGGTGGTGGTGAGGGGTGAAATAATAATAAATAATAATAATAATAAGAGTTGCTGTATTGTACTAGAAAGATATTTCAAAAGAATCAGGTGCTTAGAGACAGCTAAGCCAGTTCCTGTAGTGTGTACTGGGATAAGCTACCTATTTAAACAATAAAATATTAATCTTCAAAATATTCATCTTACTTTTCACTGTATTTTATATCTGACTCAAATTTTGCATTGACAGCATCATTCTGAAGCTATAGGTAAGTTCACTTCGATCTGAGGTATCCATGCCTGAGCGACGCAGACAGCTAACATCACATCCGGCTCCAGCGGGAAACTCTGTAGGACAAACAACTCTGGGAAGCCAGTGAAAGAGTGTAACATTACAAGCAGATTCATCACAGACCTGCCTGGCAAAATACCGATAAATACCATTAATAGCCATTAACAGGGCAGTTCACCCCAAAACTGGAAAAAGATACCGGTGAAAATGAAATAGGTTATAGAGGGGCTTTAGTTCTGTCTATCCGTCTAGGTCTAGCTTGTTCTGCTGGGAGTTGCCTCGTTTTGGCGATATCGGCCGTAGAAATGTCGCACTTCTCTAGAATATAATGGGACTGAATGGTATGCTTTCTGTGGTGATTAAAGCACCTGAAAATACATTTGAAAAATCCAGCAGCAATGTCTCTTACCAGAAGGTGAGCAGTTTAATGTAGGGACTATTTTTTGTTCTACCGAACTCCACACACCAGTCGTATCACTGCGCAGAAGATAACAGGTACTCGTGCTCATGTCTTCTGTGCAGTGATACGATTGGTGTGTGGTAATGATTTCTGGTAAGAGACGTTACTGTTGCATGTTTCAAATGTATTTTTGCCACTTTAATCACCAAAGAAAGAATAATATTCACTATATTTTATTCGATAAAAGCCCCACGATTCTTTGGTCAATATATCCAAAACTAGACTGCCAGCAGAACTACCTAGATGGGCAGATAGCACTAAAGCCCATGTAAAACATGTATTTTTCAAGATTTGGGGTGACCTACTCCTTTAAAAACTCATCACTGTATTTATAGCTTGTTCTTCTTTATCATTTGCTTTGGGATTTCCAGCTAATTTAGCTAATTTAAGTTTTTATAACCATTGATTATACTGGACATATTGACCTGGCAAAAGAGACTATCTTTTATCGTCCATTTTACAGGTGAGATTAACTGTTTTTATTGTAGCATTTTCTCATCTTGAAAAAGCTAGTTTCAGTCCCCAGCTTGGCTATTACACTTATGAGTAAACTTTTTACCATTAACTCTTTCCTAGTTAGTTTGATGATTTCTGTCGGCGTTCTGGGCCTGGTTGTTCGAATTTGATCAAATTTTGAGAATGGGTTAGTCAAAAGAAAAATGGGATTCTGAAATTGGATTAGATCATGTAAGCTGGTCTTGGTTTTGATCAAGATCAATTCTCAAGTATGTCTTGTTCAAAAATTTGTAGCAGAATTTGGATAAATTTGATCAAAGAAATCAGGACTACCCTGATCCCAGCAGAAGGCTGTGTTCAGGGTGGATTTCAGGTACAAAATGTAATGCAACTTTAAAATGGGTCAAAAAATATTTGTGTCATACAATATGCACAATTTCCGGGACTCCTGCTGCCGAGTCAGCCTTTGTGATTCTCTAGCAAAGCTTCTAATGGTTGCTCTTCTTCTGGAGGAGAAGGAGCAGAAAAAATGAAGAGACCATTCTATATACCAATCTGCATTTTTAAATCCAGGTTTAATCCTGGTTCTGCTGGCAGAAGGCTACACTGCAAGACAGGCTGCTTCCAGGCTTAAATTTCCTAAGACAGCAGTACAGAAGATCAAAGTGAAGCAGGAGACACTGACAATAACCTAAAATCAGCCTGGTAGAGGGCAGAAGCGACTTCCTAATGCCAGAGATGACCGTCAACCGATCCAGCAATGCCTCATAAATCTGAGGATGACCTCAAGTGACCTTTAAAAAGAATGGGAGATATTAAGTGGTGTGAAGTGCACTGCTAGGACAATTCATAACAGGCTCCTAGAAGCAGGACTGAAGACCCATAAAGCAAAGAAGAAGCCCTTCATTAACGAGAAGCAGGGAAGAGCCAGGCTGGAATTTGCAAAAAAAAAGAAGTATACTTTACACAGATGCATACCCAAAAAATGAGTGAACCTGAAATTTTATTGTGGTCTCAATTTCTTCCAAAGCTGCACATTTATTCATATTATAGACTTGAACCACAACAGTGATAAAATGGGTATGAAGTTACTTATTAAACCAACTTCTATTAAACCCACTTTCAGTCCACTAAAGTTAAAAAAAAATGGATTTGTCCCCCTAGGATAATCTCCAAAATATCTGTCAATATCAAACAAAACTAACAAAATTAATTTTGTCATTCATCACTATATTAATTATGACATAATAATCAGATACAAATCAGTCAAATGCAGTGTCTGATGATTACTGCCCATCTTACTGGTAACTATTGGACATTTTGCCTTTTTATCATTTAAAACACATGTTCACAGTGTATTTGTGAATAATATACATTTGTTTTTTTGTTGGTCAAATCTGACAGTTTAAAAGAAATTGAAAATAAAAGGCAAGTTTTTGATGATTTTATTGTGCTATTGTCGAATAACAACACTTAAAGTGATCCCACAATAGATATTCTACCTGTTGTTCTTTACATAGCTAGTAGCTTACATTGCAATATGTAGTCCTTTTTAGATCACTGGTAATCCAGATTTGGTAATATCTGGATCTGGATAATCCAATCCAATGTTACCTTGGGAAAAAAATGGTGTAAAAAGTAAGATCCAGATCCTGGTTAGCAAACCATGGGATTTCCTAATCGGCATCATTCTCATGCAGATAAAATTTTTTGAACAACTGGGCACAGGAGATATTGTTCAAATTAGAGGCGTCATAGCTCTGGGAAATGGCATTTAAAAATCATACCGAAACACCAACAGTGAAAGATAAATGCCTAAAATATTTACTTTTCTTCCAGATTCTGCATGGTGTCAGTATCAATCATTGTTATAAGAATGCAGTCTGACAAAACAGTGCTAAACAGGAAGATGGAAATTAACTGAATGGCGTCTCCATTATGAGTTTTCATGGCGAGAGAGAGAGGCCAAACTTCCCCTAAGAGCCCCCAGCAAATCAAGTGCATTTCAGCCAGCTCTGCTTCCAAGACTGGCAGCCGGGCAAAACATTTTGCGGAGCTGACAGGGAAGATCATTTCTGACAAGCCGCCATCCATCAGCCCAAGCAGCTCGAACAATCTGGTGATGTATGTGGCAGGTCACACCTATGGAAAGCCGGAAGCGCTCTGAGATATATCGGCTTAAAGAGGGAAAACTCTCACCGTTACCAACCACTCAGTAGTAAGTGAGTGACGTTCATTTGAATCAGGGAAACGGAGACTGAGGGCAGCTAACTTTCACAATAACAGCACCGGCTTCAGACAAGTCCATTCCCATTTGTAAAATGAAAGCACCTTAACGTGGAATATAGTTCAGTTTTCACCATCAACTTTTGCTCTTTTTAACTGCAATTTTCGTTGCGTAAAGTACAACTCAACTGAGTGGACAGAAGTGACATTTTGGTGAGTGTAGAAAGTGGCCAGTAACAGCTGGATATTTCATTTAACATTGGTGGTCTTTTTTTAAACATTTAAGAATAGGTAGAGTTACATCAAACGTGACTGATGTCATTATACATGGTAGATACAATCAAGGGTCAATCAGGTCAAATCTGAAATTTTCTTGCATAGAGGTTGACAAAAAAAAAATTTGAAAAACACTGAATTATCATCATTATTTGAGAACAGCAGCTGGTTGATCGTGTAGTTTCTGCTAGGTTGGGTTTTTATTTTTCTAGATGTTTTTAATGTCAAGAATGGGTCTAATTTCGGCTGAACAGTGGCAATTTGGCACCAGGGTATTGTCTGCCAACGGGGTCTACAGCATTGACTATGCATGAGTAAGGAATCCCTGGGGAGCCAGTGCCAGCAGCAGGCGTCCTACACAAATGTGCGCTTTGAAAGAAAGCTGCCATTTTAATAATTCTGATTCTGAAAATCATCTGTTTTCTTACAGAGGAATTTTAACAGTGACATTAACACATCTGGACTGGGTCTTCAGGACACAGCAGAACCGTTCACGCAGTCCACTTAATAATTATTATTGTTACATTCATATCAGTGTACCAGGTGGCCATGTGCACAGATGTGGCTTGGTCTGGAAGGGAGGGTGACAGCTCCTTCCATCACAACAGCGCCCCCTGTGGATGACCATGGCTAACAGCTAGGGCCTCCCTCAGAATGCAGACAAAGCGGTGCACATCGCGGAAGGAGTTGTAGAGCGGAACTGGGGCGACCCTCAGGACGTCGGGCTCCCTCATGTCGCACTGGAAGAGGAGTGTTACCAGAGGAACGTAACTATCACCACAATCATCACCTGGATCAGACTGCGGTGATTCACTGCTAAGTACAGAGAGTACAGGGAATCTGTTTTAGTGCAGGTGGTGGCATGAAGCATACGATCAAATACACTGTCAAGATAAAAAGCACAAAAAGCATAAATCGCATGCAAATAAGAGATAAAAGGAAAAATAATGTGCCATTAATAAATAAACATGTAGACGTTTAGATAAAGGTGAGAGAACCAGCTGTAGGGTACAAACAGCTTTGGACTGCATGCAAATAAGCTTGTAAAGGCAGTAAAAGTATGAAATACAGTGGATCCCTGAATCATTCTCAGTTACAACTATCATCTAGGTAACTATAGGCAGTAAAGGAAAAGAAAACAGGCCTCCTAACCTGAACACTCACCATGTGCAGCAGAACCAGCAGGTTCCCAAGAGAGTCGAAATGCTGACACTCACGCACCCAAAAAGCACAGCCCGTCTGGCAGATTTGCACAGTAGAAAGCGTGCATTGTACTCCATATTTGCATTTATTTCCCGCTGTATTTATTTTGCATCTATTCCCTGCTCAGCGTGCAATTTGAAATTTTGGTGTCACTTTCTATGATTGCCATGTCTATAAGAATGTATGAACACATTTGTGACACATGCATTCATAAAGCATTATCAACATGGCTGTAAATACTGTATTTGTAAAAAAGCATGTTTTATTATAAGCATGTTTATTAAGCATTATGAATGCTTTACGAAGCACTCAACTATAATGCAGATACCTTCAAATGCAGTACAAAGCATCCTTAATGCTTATTCTGACCGTTATAATCCATTATAAATAAGAGCTTCATTGGAGTGCATGGACTATTATAATCAACATTATAATGCCTTATGACTCAACAGAAAATGCTGTAATGCTTTATTAAATTCTTATACTGACCATTATAATAGATTATTAAGGTATCTATAACACATTATACACTCACCTAAAGGATTATTAGGAACACCATACTAATACGGTGTTTGACCCCCTTTCGCCTTCAGAACTGCCTTAATTCTACGTGGCATTGATTCAACAAGGTACTGAAAGCATTCTTTAGAAATGTTGGCCCATATTGATAGGATAGCATCTTGCAGTTGATGGAGATTTGTGGGATGCACATCCAGGGCACGAAGCTCCCGTTCCACCACATCCCAAAGATGCTCTATTGGGCTGAGATCTGGTGACTGTGGGGGCCATTTTAGTACAGTGAACTCATTGTCATGTTCAAGAAACCAATTTGAAATGATTCGAGCTTTGTGACATGGTGCATTATCCTACTGGAAGTAGCCATCAGAGGATGGGTACATGGTGGTCAGAAACAATGCTCAGGTAGGCCGTGGCATTTAAACAATGCCCAATTGGCACTAAGGGGCCTAAAGTGTGCCAAGAAAACATCCCCCACACCATTACACCACCACCACCAGCCTGCACAGTGGTAACAAGGCATGATGGATCCATGTTCTCATTCTGTTTACGCCAAATTCTGACCATTTGAATGTCTCAACAGAAATCGAGACTCATCAGACCAGGCAACATTTTTCCAGTCTTCAACTGTCCAATTTTGGTGAGCTCGTGCAAATTGTAGCCTCTTTTTCCTATTTGTAGTGGAGATGAGTGGTACCCGGTGGGGTCTTCTGCTGTTGTAGCCCATCCGCCTCAAGGTTGTGCGTGTTGTGGCTTCACAAATGCTTTGCTGCATACCTCGGTTGTAACGAGTGGTCATTTCAGTCAAAGTTGCTCTTCTATCAGCTTGAATCAGTCGAGCCATTCTCCTCTGACCTCTATCATCAACAAGGCATTTTCGCCCACAGGACTGCCGCATACTGGATGTTTTTCCCTTTGCACACCATTCTTTGGTTGTGCGTGAAAATCCCAGTAACTGAGCAGATTGTGAAATACTCAGACCGGCCCGTCTGGCACCAACAACCATGCCACGCTCAAAATTGCTTAAATCACCTTTCTTTCCCATTCTGACATTCAGTTTGGAGTTCAGGAGATTGTCTTGACCAGGACCACACCCCTAAATGCATTGAAGCAACTGCCATGTGATTGCTTGATTAGATAATTGCATTTATGAGAAATTGAACAGGTGTTCCTAATAATCCTTTAGGTGAGTGTATATGATAGCTTTAAATAAAGTGTTACTGTCATTTTTTCTTGATATGTTGTTTTTATTGGTTTCCCTTTAGTCTATGCCTTGCTGTCTGACCTTGTCAAACATGACTAGATATATTCTTATTCTTAATCCTGCTCTGTAGGACAAAAAAATAATAAACCTTATTTCATGTCAACAGAAAGGGTACCTACAGTATAAGGCTACAGAGCACGGAGGTCCTCACTGGAGGACATAAACGCAGACGGGTTCATAAGCCGGCAGGGGCTGCAGGTGTGCTCCTGTATATCGATTTATTTAGTGATACCATTGTTGGTGACCGAAATGCGTGACCTATGGTGCTGTGTCCCAAATTACACTTCCAGTGCTGTCACATACAGACTGCCAGCCCCACACAACTGTTACACAGCCTATTACCCTGTACACCATAAACGGAGCTCTAAGCAATCACAAAAATAGAAAGTGAGGGTGTTCCTCAATATCCGCTCCTGACTGTACTTGTGTTCTCATGTACCCGTTTTACATCATCTTCCATTCCCGAAGACCAGGTCCAATACCAAGAACAGAAGTACGGAGGACCATAAAAATCCCCCAATGTCGTTCTTGCTCCACCACAAATATCAAGGATACATCAGCTGCATCATCGCCAAACGAAGACCAATCCCATGATTCATTGTGCATCAAGTTCATGCCAAGATCACAAGTACAATCTCTGCATTCTTGGTTTTGAGAATTACCCTAAGTGTCCATATTTATTGTTACGAGCCGTTCATGTGTGATGTCACCCCTTTGGGTAGCTGCACATCTCTTTCAGCATCCAACCAACGGATTCTATTCTCATGTTTTGCAGAAGGTATCATGCTTGCTGAAAATTACAATTAGTTCACTGTGTGTGGAGTAAGATCCAAGCAGACTGAGGATGAGCTGGCATTCACTCGGCTAATGCTAAGTTCACACTACAGGATTTTAGCCTTGATTTTACACTCGCCCACAGTTTTTGGAGATGGAGGACAGAACCCTCAGATCAGAGGCACATGTTTAAAGACCTGATGGCGTCGCAGATGTGTCGCAGATGTGTCGCAGATGCACACCAGTTATCTAGCATGCTAAATATCTGAACCCGCCTGCGAATCCCGTAGTGTTAAAAAAGTGTTGCAACTGGCAATGAGTGCAGGGATGAGCCACAGCCGTTGGGGTGAGGCGTAACTCGAGGGAGGAATTTTTAGCTCATTGACACTAATGAGAGAATTGTCATTTCCTCATGTTACTTCTTGCGTATCTTTTCGTAAGAAAATGTAGTTTGGAGACCAGACAGACTCATCAGTGATTCCTCCTGGTGAAAGATCTTGTAGTGAATGACCTCCAGTCGATCACTCATGTAGTGTGGAAAACACAACGACTAGTCGTGTAGTGTGAAAGATACAGCAATCCGATGACTTGGAAAGTCGCATATTATGAACTTAGCCTTAAACGCAAATTCCCATTCTAACAAAGCACAGAAACTTCCAGAAGTGGGTGGAGGACGGAGGGGGCACTCACAGCGACCGCCCGCCTCTCCAGCTCCCTGAAGATGTTGGTGACGGGCACGGAGAAGCAGAGCGAGAGCTGGCAGCCACGTTGAGCCGGATCCGAGGGCGTCATGATGCGCACGTGGGCCTTGTGTGGGTCGGCGTCCTCGTGGCCGAAGTTCCGCTTCAGAAGGTATTCCAGGTATCCCGTCAGGAGGACAGACTTCTTCCTCAGAGCCTGCATGCTGGTCTGGCTGAAGATCTGGAGGAAGCCGTAAGGGCAGAAGGATCCCGACCCAACGTTAACCGCGTCTAGCGGTTATTAAGAACTGGCAGTACAGTCAAACAGAACTGGGACAAAGAACCAGGCCTGCTGATGTACCTTTGGACACAGTTACACTGAGACTGTAGTATGCTGCAATGGATGAAACTAAGAATTTGGAAATCCTAACCAAACAGAGATATACACTGTCAGAAAAGGTACAAACAACATCAATGCACCCCCAATGGTACAAAACATTCCTGAGTCCAATGCTGTGCCTTAAATTAGACTAAAAGTTATTTACGTACAACTGTAGGGTACAATTGGCAGACCCTTGAGGGTACAGCCTCACTGACAAGAACTTGTACCCTCAAAAGGTACAAACTGGTACTTTTTTCCTAACAGTGTGGGAAAGAGGAGTGATGTTCTTCCACTGGTGGAAAAAAAAGAAAGAAAAAAAACAATGCTCTTTGTTCAGTTTTAACATTTTTCACATTTATAAGTGACTTGTCTGGTGGGCAGCTTTAACATAATGCCTATTGAGGAGACTGTTCCACATCCCGGGCCATCCCACTATGTGAGGATCAGGAATGAGAAGTTACCACGTCAAAAAGCATCTCGTAAGGCAGAGCTCAGCTATGCGGAGCTGCTGCGCATTTGCCCGTCTGCCTGCTGTGTGTTTTAGCCAATAAAATTACAAAGATGGAAAATGCGAGCATGCAGAGTAAACAGGAGATGTGCACAGACATGACAGATCTTAACAGCTGTAGACACCTGGTAACTTACCTCTAGACTGGCCTGGAGGGAGCACACTAGTAATATGGGCTGGTTGGATAGTCTGTATCCTCCAACACCAGGAATCAGCTGCATTTCTACAGAACATAATGTACACTAATTATTCGTTTTCATATGCTTTTGGCTCAGCTGAAGAAAGACACAATCAAAAGTATCTATGATCATGTCCTATAGAAGCAGAACAAAACAAAAAGTAAGGTAATCATGATGATGAGATTAAAAGTGTTCCGTATTGGTGCATGTTATAGCACACATTTGCCAGAAGATGGCACCATAGGCCAATGAGCATCTGCTGTACTGGCATCTACTGTAACAAAACAATACAACTCATGGCAAAAATGGACGGACAGGGAGAAATGCTGCCTCTTTGCAGATAGCTGCTTAGGGAATTCTTTAACTATTTATCCATTCATGCAGAATGGTTATTTTACTACAGCAATACACACTAAGTGCCTTGCTGAAGTTCCTCTCTTAATATAAAATGGCAGCCTGATGTTTACAAGGTTGTGTCATTAAAAATTGTGCCCCCTACTGCCTACACACATCATACAGAAAATCATAGGTACAGGCTGGTTACAGGGTACAGCACTGAAAACTACAGGTAAAATGACAGATCTGAATTAAAAGGTGCCCGCCCTCAGAGCCAGATATCGCCTTTCCTGTAGCCATGTTGCTCATCTGTGGAATTTACAACCCAGGATAAGAGCGGGATGTATACAGGATTTGCTTAAAGCCTGCCGAAAAGGCTCCAGGTCGCCTCCTTCAGGACCAGCCTTGTAATGTACGAGCTTCAGTGTGGAGAACGTGCGCGACTGTACCGTTATCCATCAGAAACCGCGACTTCAGGTCATGCCCCCACCAGCCCCACAGCCTGTGGGAGAGAGTAAGAGCGGGCTGAGACTGCGCGGCTCATTTGGGCGTGCTATTCCCGTCAGTCACGGGTCGGGCTGCCACGAGGGTGGCACGATGCCTTCCAGGAAGAACGGCGCCATGGGCCCATTCATCACTCTGTAATTAGACACCCGTCACAGGAGCCACGTTAATGCTAAGTGTGAGGGGATCACACAGGACTGAAGCTCTCGGTGGCACAGAGATCATCGCAGGTCCTCAAATCCACAGTTCCGGGGTCTATGGGCTCCTCTGGCCTCTTTAACGTTATTGGCGTGAAGATGGAATTCATCCAATTAGGGAAATAATTAGCTTGACAGGGTGCTGAGGATCCCCAGGTAGGATGAAGACCTGTGCACCGACCCCCGGACCATCTTCGGGGGCTCTGTACTCACGCTGGCCTGACGCTGCCCGAGTGCTTCTCGTGGATGAACGCTCCAGCCAAGCCGCCTGCTCCAGAATTGACGTACTGCACACAGAAAACAAGGCCGTCAGCCCGGCCCTCCCAGTTTATTCTGCACGGCTACCAAGCCAGTCGTACATCATAGTTGCTTCTCTGCTTAGTATCTTGCAGGGAATTTCTCAGCAAACAGGAAGGGGCCGACACCCCCTACCGGCTCCCCCTCAAACGCCGCTTCCGCCGCCAGCTCACCTTGTAGGAGCACCAGCAGGCGAAGTCCACGCCCCAGTCATGCAGCCGCAGTGGCACGTTCCCCACGGCGTGTGCGCAGTCGAAACCCACGAGGCAGCCCTGTGGGACAGAGCCCCCCAAGGGGAGCAAATGCTCACACCCTCGTGCAATATCATGGTGCAGTAACCCCATTCAGATCAACGTACCAGCATTCAGTGTCCTTTGCTGCGATGATGTCCTTCACTGACGAGGGGGGGGTTAGTGATAAACCCCTTAAAAGGTGACCTTCAGAAATACCTACATTACTAGCTGCTTAATATGGACAAAGCACATACTGTACGATAAACCGTAATCCGCTAAAATAAATGGCAACTCTTATGAGACTATTTACGGATTGAGTTACTTTGATTTATGCTGATCTTCTGAGTACATCTGTATGTTTAGTGACTGTCCTGTGTCAGCCGCACCCCCTGTCCAATGGGATGATTCAGCTCTACAGTGAAAACCAGAGTTAAGCTCCAGTAGTTTCAGAAAGAGTAGGATAAAACAGGGACTCAAAACGATCTGAGGGAATAAGAACCTTCATAAGAAGGGTGTGAAAGCTCTCCATCGTAACGCTTTGGGAGGTAAAGAGACTTACAGAGCTCTTTAAAGAGTGCAATCCACGCACCTGCGTATTAAACAGCTGTAGCGGTTCATTCGACAGACAAGGAAAAAAAAAACCGAAGGAATCTTTCGCCTTATGTCGCAAACAAGTGTGCCAGCAGAGGGCAGCACTGTAACACGGAACATTTAAGCTTCCTGCTCTCTTAAAGTTTTACATGTCAAATACTATGGGGTACGGGGAAAAAAAATCTTTAAAAGAAAAATGGGAGTGCAACATTCTTTTGGGCCGAGATCAATACAGGGCTTTAAGTGATTTAAAAGTTCCTCGAGAGATTGCTGATACGGCAAAGTCTCCTGTCTGAAGCTGTCCACCTCAGCTTCAGTTTAAATCACATCTGAAAATAGGCCCAGGAGGGGGACGTCAGGGGCCCCAGCCTATCGCCCCAAGACGCTATGCTAAGTGCACTGATTTTTCAGATATCTCTGCAGGCGGCAAGCTCACCTTCTCCTGGCCAGCTGTGGCGATGGCGGCCATGTCAAACAGCTGTCCTGTGTAATACTGCACTGCGCTGAACAGGATGACAGCGATGGAATCTCCCTCCTTCTCGATGGTGGTCAGGATGTCCTCAGTGCGCAGAGTGTCCTCTCCCTACCAAGCAGAGAGCATCGCTGTCATTTAGAGAGGCCCAGCTGTCTTATGTCACAAGGCCCCGCCTTTCAGAAATAAAGTATATGAATAAGGGCACCTTTCAGTCGCTAATGCACAACATCTCAGCTAGAGAGAGTCTAAACCAGCCACAAGTAATCACACTAGAGAGAGTCTAAACCAGCCACAAGTAATCACACTAGAGAGAGTCTAAACCAGCCACAAGTAATCACACTAGAGAGAGTCTAAACCAACCACAAGTAATCACACGGTTTCACATGAACCTCCAAAATGCTCTGAATTGTAAACCATTTTCCATTTCAAACCCATCTTTTGTGTTGTTTAGTACACAGATTTCAGAAACACGGATATTCCAGAAACGTGGACCTAAAGCATAAACAGCCCAGCCCAACATGAACGCTCATTTTTATCCCCCAGAGCTGGAGACTGACATGACAGGTAGACATGTTTGGACAATTAGACCTGCTATTCCAATGATCATTTAACATTTTCAATAAGCAACAAATCACAGACATGCACAAGCCTGCTTATAATATTAAAAAGGAGTTTGACAGTATCGGTTGCAGTAATTAATGTAGTGGCTTCGATGTCGCACGCTAGCCTGCAATACATTTTGTGTCATCAATCCTTTGAAAGAGAGACCTTATGTTAGTTTAGCTTATTACAAATAAATCAATGACAAGCCTTCATTTTTATGATTCTGGTATCTAAAGTATGAATCCATCATGCTCCCCATCGAAGTAATGCTTGCTATTTCTTAACAAAGCAATGTTAAACAAAAGACTGAGTGGACATTGTCCTATTATAGTACTTTAATGTGCATTAATCTCCATGGCAAAAAATAAAAGCACATTGTCACTATGGGAATTAGGTATCGTTACACTTGATAACTGCATGAGTAACACACAGCAGAGTTTTGTTAGAGTATTAGAAGCAAAAGGTATTTGTGCCATTTCCTTCTCTCTCTGAGACTCTGCCTGTTGTCATAAGCATTTGACCTAAGGCAAATGCAAAGTTATTTGGACAGGAGTGCAAAATACACTAAAATGAGAGTAAACAATAAGGAAGGGGAGCTACAGCAGATGACAGTGCTGTCTACTTAAATCCAAGAGCGTGTCTCCCTACGAAATGGGCGCAGGCTCACAATTCCATTTAGAAACGCCGCAATCGATACACAGCCGTCAGAGCAGAGCCGGCTGCTGATGCTCTATTGTCACCGCGCGCCTTTAAACCGTCAGCTTTTTAATTCCGTGCTGAAAAGGTGCATGTATCATACTGGGCTGGGGAATACATCACCTCCCTGGGCCTGATCAGGAGCAGGCTGTGCTGCGGCTCATATCCCCGCAGGCGTATCTGGGACTGCACGGCGTACTGTAGATGGACAGATTTTATTCGCCGACATTTTATTCAATTTATTAATTGTGAATTTTCAGTAGCACAATATACACCCATTTAGACAGTATGAAAGACATTTAGACATTAACAGACACTAACTATAAATAAACGACAATATACAGTGAGAGTGCAAGGAATGTCAGGGTACACAGAATTCCATACTAATGACTAATATAAATAGATAAATAGTATTGTACAGTGAACGAATGAATGTTCTGTGAATGGGCCTAAGCGGTGCTGATCCATTGAGGGAGTTGGCCACCTCCCACGCCATAGAATTGTAGGATGTAATGTACGGGGGTGGGAACGGCATTCCATATGCTCCTTGTAAAGATCACTGGCCCCCATTACTCAAAGTGCATGAAACATGACAGTGGATCCACAATGAGGCCGAGAAGCAACCGGAAGGTTTATGGATGCAGAACGAGACGGTTTGCAGTGCTGGAGCGTTGCGGAGATCCTGTTTCCCTCCCAAGTGAAACACGGGACCGGGAGAGCGGCGGGGTCTCACGTAATCAGAGGGGAACGCCTTATCCTCAATGAGGATTTTGTGCCGTCTGGCTGTGGGTTTGTAGAAAGACAGCTGCAAAGCACATTGATTAAATCAGACATCAGAAAAGATGCCGGACAGCGAAGGGGTTAATGCTGAAATATTGATAAATAGTACTTTACCAGCAGAAGGTGCAAATTAACCGTCAAGCCATTCATCAAAGCCACCTCCTCAACCATAGCTCCTGAAAACAAGAAAAAAATAAATTAATATAGCAAAAGGAAACACGTTCCTTTGTTTACAGATAATTATCATCATAGCAGCTACCCTATAATTAAAAATGTTTTGTGGTTTGCAGATAGTCTTTATTATAAGGCACCTGTTTAGACGCCTATCCTGAATTGCAACTCGTACCAGGGCTTAACATTTTCTATGATTTTTAGCATCTGTCAAAATTTTACATCAGAGAAAATTGATTTATTGACTTTCAGATGGTCCTGCAAATGTATTTTACCTCAAATGAACCGCACAAGCTGCAACATCTAAGTTAATTAAGGAAGGTTAATTGAGTTTTGATATTTGTTGTGCATCGTGAGGGACCAGCATACTGCGGCGGACATCAAAGGGAGAGCGTGGAGGCCGTCGTGACCCCAAAGTGACCTCACCAACAAGATGAGCCATCATTTCTTCTATAGTGTTCTCAGCGCAGACCCAAGGCCGGCTTCCTTCTGTATGGCCATGAACTCCACTGTAAACAACAGGAGCTTCAGGTATTGTGGACAAAGCCCATTAGAACTATGGCTTGGTACACTCACTAGGGTTACTGATCCTAAAGGTTGCTGAAACACAAGACATAGGCTCCACATCCGGCCTTAAACACCACTCACGTTTTTGCCCATTTGTCCAACTCCACATCAAGATACTCCTTGGTTTTCTTTGGCTGCAGCCCGAGTGAGTTTCCCGCCAGATAAACGCAGTCCTCCGTGCCGTGGACGAGCCCGGGGTCAGCTGCAGCGAGATGACAACCGCATTAGCATAGCCTTTTCTGCCAGTCGACGGCTCTGTAGCGAACATCTGCCTTCATTTAGAGGCACACAAAGGGTCCCGGGCGTCATCTCACATCTATTCACACGCTGAAGTTTCCGAGACAAACTGCGGTTTGTGTTTTATGGTGCCGACCCTTAGCCTACTAAGACCTCCGGCCTGTTTCACAAGGACTTTATGTAAAGCGAAAAATCCTCCACAATAAAGACAGCACAGGTCCAGATAAAGTAAAACTTGCAGGAGTACAGTGCGACCTCTCTGACTGCACATCCAGAGTCTATTTCCATCTCTCTTTTTCTTTAAGTGGGTGGTCTGCAAACGCTTGTTATTACAGACCTGATGGAGATCCATAGGGACTGAACACTGTCTCATTCATTAAAACACGCACCAGAGATAGGAAGAGTGTGGGCCATTTTCCACATGATATTACAGAAACATTCTTTAATAAATGTCCACATGCTAAAAATATCAGGATTAGGGTAACTATTCAAAATTCAAATTCTGCCTTCAAGCTTCTCCAGGATCTAGAATAAATCAAAAAATGCACAAGACTATTAAGTAAATTCATCCGCCTTCACTGTCATAAATCAGCTTTTCACAGTATGTCCAAATTACCCTCACAAAATGTATTATCTCTCTCTCTCTCACACACACACACACACACATATAATGTATAATATAATAATGTATGTATCAAATGTGGAGACTTAATCACGATTATTGTACAACAGCCATAAAATTTTTATATATATACTTATGTTTACACTTCTGTTTCAGTATAAGGGGTGGTGGGTAGTTCTGTAAGTTAGGACTCTAAGCCTCTGATCCGAAGGTCATTGGTTCAAATCCCTGGGTTGGCAGAGTGATGTCACCATTGGGCCCCTGAGCAAGGCCCTTAAGCCTAATTACTCCAATGACTGGCTGACCCTAATCTCTGAACTGTGTGTCACTTTAAACAGTGTTTGCTGAATAAATTGAATATAATTTACTCAGTAAGTAAAAATGAACTTTTTTTGCTTGTCATTGCAGTCTATTATAACGGATTTTTGTTTTATTTGAAGTTGTATAAAAGTGAACCGAATACTGATTATTCTCTGTGGCAGTGTGGCTTAAAAGCATTATGTCTCATTTGAAAGCTAACAGAACAGAAATCAGCACAACAGTCATCCCCAAACATGCCTCACTGTCTGCAGACGGGAGACCATCGTGCCATTCTGTACACTGCTGAGTAGGTATAACTTTGGTAACGAAGATCTCGATTACAGAGACATCTCAGATAAGGGCTATACTGCTTAGGTTTAGGTGGATTTTAAGGAGAAGGAGAAAAAAAAACTCAACCAGGTTCTCTGAAATTAAATTCTACATTGATTAGACTTCCTGATCCGAAATGGAAAATGCAGGCCCAACAGCAAACACCCCAAACATCTCTATATGGAGGAGAAGGACTGCTGATTCTACATAGTATTCAAAATTATACTGTTGCGTTCACAAATGGTTCAAAAGTTTATTTACTCGACTGGAAGGCGACTTACTTGTGCATGTATTTTAGCATTTGGTCACCTGAATTTGGCATCTGCCACCAAAACACCACTTTTTCCACCATAAAAGCAGGTTTGTGCCCACCATCTTGCACCAGACATAAAGACAGTGTTACCAGCATCAGTTGGATTTTTCTGTCAACTGACTTTTGATCTTGAGGGGGTCTGGGTTTGCTGAGACTTACTGGGAGACAGGTCTGTGGTTTTGGGCATGTGGAACAGCCCCCGCAGGTGTCCCAGCTCGTCGGTGCCGTCAAGGTGCACGGCCAACTCCGCCGAGGCTGGGCTGCAGCCCAGCTGCGCCGAGATCCGCTCCAAAATCTCCGCTGGGGAGGCATGGGAGACAGTGCCATCCTCCATGCTGGCAGAGGAAGGAGAGCTCACTGGATGGGGAAGGTGCCAAAACAGGACGCCCCAACATCCCACCTGAAACATCAGCTACTACCCACAATTTCATGGCAGTGGGAACGGCAACAAATCAACAAAATATGAATATACTGATTTAAATTTAAATCTAATTAACGTGGGGTGGACTACAGAAACCCTCATCAGGCATGTCTGGGGAAGGTGTGTGGTGCAGAGGATTCAGCCTCAGTGCCCATATTCATAAGGTTGTGGATTCAAACCCCATAGTCAACAGAGTAAGTCCCTTCAACCCCAAAATGTTCCTGGGATGCCAAATAAATGACCGAGCCTGCACTCAGATCAGATCCCTCCAAGACAGTGTTTCTCAACCCAGTCCTCAGGGAACCCCAGCCAGTCCACGTTTTTGCTTCCTCTCAGCTCCCAGCCACCTGTACCAGCTATTCGATGTTCCTGATTGGCTGGGAGCTGGGAGGGAGCAAATACGTGGACTGTCTGGGGTTCCCTGAGGACTGGGTTGAGAAACACTGCTCCAAGACAAGCAACATGGAATACATGAAGTTTAAAGTGTTCTTAAATTATCGTACAAAAAAATCATTTCAGAATATAAATCAATTGTCAGACTGTCCCACAAATTATAAAATTTGTATAGGAGTTTAAAAGGCATTTCCCTATTTTAGAGTCTCTTTAAAACTTGTTATGCCTATGGGGAAATCCATGTTTTTATTTACATTCCTCAAGACGTTTGTAATACAATCACCATAACCTGTAATATTTTGTCCTATACAAGTAATACACAGAATACCTGGTTTCATCTGGGGGCTTACGGCGAACAAAAAGGTGACGTTATGCTGCATGAAGCCGCATAACTTACTTTCCAACACTATTAAACTACCTTCCAGCGTCGCTTTGGGAATAAAAATGACTATTTGACAAGATTAATCGAATAATATCGGTAGATTATCGGGAATATTACTTACATTAAATTAGTACTGGAGTAATGCGGAAAATTGGTCCTGGTGCAAGATGACTAATGATTTTCTTTGTGAGACAGTAGGTCGATGAGTCCAAAGGCAAAAACACTGAACTGTGACACGCAGATTAACGGGGAACTTCAGTTTTTAACTATTAACCATCGATAGATAACGACGGCAGCAACAAACAAGACAAAAAGCCTCCTTTGTCTTTTAAAACGAAACTGATGCGTGGGAGGTGTATTTCCCATTCAATCATAATTACTCATAAATACTGCTACATTTTGCCATTCATATTAGGAAATCGTGACACTGACGCTACCCACTCATCTGAAAGTGTTTCATGTCTTGCCAACAAGCGAACTTTGACCATACACTGAATTTTCTGCTTGAAGAATATCTGCCTTTGAGTGCATTAAAACGAAACCAAACAGGGAAACATGAACTGATACTGAACACGGCAGCTGAATCATGGGTTTGAGATTTAAATACAATGCTTTATGGAGGAGAAATATAGATACGGATTTTTAAGCTGTTGGCTCGCAGAGGTGGAGATTTCAGGTCCAGAGAGTCGAATCCAGACCAAGATTTTGTTTCAACCGCAACCAGTTGAGTACTCTGTGACTATGATTCTTTATGCTCAGCTAATTGGTTGAAACAAAATCTTGGTCTGGATTTGACTCTCTGGACCTGAAATCTCCACCTCTGATGGCTCGGCATGTAAAATTAACGTGACATGGTCAGGTGGTCAGCTTTTTTAAAAAACAATGTTCACGTAGTTGCATGAATAATTTGGAGATCTGATCCACCCTTTTCTGCAAAACTCTAAACACATTCTCATTCATCTAAATACATTTTGCATCTCGCTGAACTTTAATGCCAAAGGCAAAACACAGCACATAGTAGTCTTCATTTAAACATAACAACTCAAAACTGTTAACACGTTTCTAAACAAGGCACAAGGAAGACACACCTCCCGACTCTTCTCTGTTCTGGCACCAAGTTGGAGGAATGAACTCCCCCTAGATGTCCGAACAGCTGAGTCACTGAATGTCTTCAAAAGACGACTTAAAACACACCTTTTCCAGAAATACCTGAATTAGCACTTCTGACATTATACTTGCATTACTAAAAAAAAAAAAAACACTTTTCCAACAGAGTATTAGATCGATGGTATTCATAGCCTTGGTTTTTACTGAGCTAGTATCGGGAAAAATTCATTGTGGAGTCTTAAAGCACTTATGTAAGTCGCTCTGGCTAAGGGCGTCTGCCAAATGCTGTAAATGTAAAATGTAAATGTAAACACGTGAAGGAGCCAATTAGTGACCAGAATAGAAAATACGTGCCAGATGACAGTGCAAGTGCCATAGGTAAGTTGAATTTCAAGGTCAGGGTATGAACACCCAGTCTGTGATGTAGACAAATTTCCCTCTTCTGACCCAGCCTTGAGACATAATGAGGCAGAATCCATAATCTTCCTTGACTAGCAGTCAAGGAAGAGTATGGATTCTTCCTTGACTAGCAGTTGCACAATATTTTACTACAAAGTGCCTTTCATGTGATTTTTTTTAACTTTGACCTTTACAGTAACTGTTGAATACTGTAAAATATTAGATTTTTACATATAGTTGTATACAAACTTTTTCTTTACTGTAGTCTTGTGCGGTTGGTTTCCAATTTTGCAATTAAACGTGACAAACCATGCCCACAGTAAACCGGTTTTTCTATATGCCAGCAACAGATTTCACTGGTAATATTTAAAAGTTTTTGCTGTAGCATGTAATGACTGCGTTCAGTATTGTTTATGTAGTGTCTGGCTTTGTGTGCGAGTTAATTGAAAGTTGGTTACAATTGGTTTTCAGCAAAGATAGTTTGAAAATAGGGTTTTGCGTTTACGGTTTTGAGAAATGGATGAAGTGTTTCAGGAAATGAATAAAGGGAGTGCTTTAGCAATTCAGAAAAAGCAGTAGGCTTAATGCCTGTGGTCAAATGACAATTTCATGACTAATGCTTGTATCATTGTCTGTACAGAGAATAGTGGAATAAGTCACCAACTGTACATGATCGAGTAGTACCGACAATACGTACATTATACATAAACATCTGGTAAGTTGTTTGCCAATGAGTGCCGTTCCTTACCCGGTACAGTAGGTCTCTATGATCGCAATTTAGACATTTTCTCCTGTGGATTGACTATATACAAATTAGCTAGTATTCCCGTGTGATATTTGACGATTTTATTCCTAAAATATTTCCAACGAGCAGGCTCAAGTCAAGCTGGCCGAGCTAAAAATCTGTGCGAAAGGCAGTATATACTTCTAAAAACCTGTTAGGTCAGGCAGGTTAATTAGGGAAACCTGTTACTGGTTAGGCTTCCATCCCATTTTATGACTTAGAAATAAGTGAATGGACCTACAGTATGTCATTGTTTTAGTGTTAACAGATATATGGTGGATTTAAATATGTGCGATAATGTGTGAAACATCGAGGAAATCGGTCTGAATACGGGTCATAAAACTGCTTTACTTTAGTCTTCTAATCAGAAACTTGGTACAATAAGCTTTACGGGTATTTTTTTAAATAATCTAAATGGTATTTAGAGCGTCTTCATCAGCCTATGTTAGAAATGCACTGTGGAGATATTCGTAGAGCATGTCTGATAAGGTGGATAAACCAATCACTGCATAATGCACACCCTCCACTTTTAACCCGTAAGGTGCTGCAACACTTGATTTTTTTTTTATCCAGCCACACACAATTCAGACCAGTTCAGATGGTTGCCTTCAGCCTAATTAGAGCCTATTTTCGCGTTATTTCCAGATCACACGCAATATTACCCTATTTTCTCTTCCCTTAATTTACACCCAGCAAACATGAGACATCTCCCAGACGTGCAGATCATGGCTATATGGGGTCGGTCCATACAGGACTATATCTTTACATATATCAGGTTCAGTATCTGGACGTCTGACTAGGACCTCTCTTCAACGTTGATATGTAGTTTAATATCTGAACGTCTAGGGCCCAATCCCAAACTACACCCTCGACACTCCGCCTTCATTTCGAGTCACACTCCCGCCGAGTCACCCTCACAACACGCCCTATACACTTAAACTGAAGGAAATTGTCACAAGAAAGATTTGAGACAGACTTGCCCTCGCAGCGCCTTTTTACAGTCTTCATTACCGGAAAGAGGAAATGCATTACGTAGTGATTTGACGAAAAGGATCCATCAAGAAGCTGTATTGTATTTTCTTTAATGACATATCAGTTATTTTAAAAAAGCACAGTTTATCTA